GACGGGCTTTTTAGCAGATGATTTTTATTATCTGAGTGTTTATACACCCCAGGCTGAGGCAATAAGGGTTGTTCTGAGTGGAATGGCTTTTTTGAAGAGGGAGACTCTGCATGGTCTCATCAAGATGGTGCAGGTGTTCTCCCAGAGTTTGACCATAAATGCCTTTGGGAGGTGCTTGCAGAGGTTTTGCATGTGTAAACCATAAACCTCCAACAGAAGCATTCCATAGGAATGTATATGCTGACGAGGGCATTTCCACAAAAACATTTCACAATGCCAGATCAAAAAGGCCTAAAATTTACCTCCTGCATCCCTTGTGTAGGTTACAGTTGGCTGCATGGTTTCTGCCCAAGAAAGAATATCACCAAATATTTGCATTACATGTATAAGAGTTCTAAGATGACTTTCAGACTACCACAACTTTGAAATTCTCACATGCAGGCTGTAAATGAGTGGCCCTTTCTGACAGGGGCACATTCCGAGTGTGTGAACTCACAAGTAACTGGAAAGGTATTGCATCTTTCTTAGGAAACCATCTGGCAGCTTGGAACTTTCCCTCCTTTGACAAAGATGACTCAGCTTCACCCGTGCCCATCTCTGCTCTTCTCCTTTGGTTTCCAGATTGCCTTTACCAGCTGAACATCTCAGTGCCTTTATGACATGCCCAGCACTGCCTGCTCAGCAGTCTCCTAAGGGTTTTAAAGTCCATAGTCCTGGAGGTATCACCTGCTGGGATTCCCTTGGCTGGGCCAGGAAATGTGTGGTGGAGGCCAGACTGCTGCTAAGGCAAGAATCTGCCATCAGATGGGAGAAAACATCCCTGGAAGATGGTATTAGGCAAAACCCTAGGACTGGCCCTGGAAATCCTCTGAAGCCACTGGCCAAAGTGAATCAATTAGATACATTCAGGAGCTGATCCTGTCCCTCTGCTCAGGCCTCATGGAGGTGCATGGAGGCATGAATGAATTTCATGAATGAAAATATGGTGGGCATCATCCATGTAACGTCAGCATTTAAGTGCATGTCCTTCCAGCATGGAAGATGCATGTCTGTCACTCTTCAGAGTGACAGGGAGGTCGTTGTTCTGAAGCCCTGAAATGTGCAATGAGCATCTGTCAATGCTCTTTTAGTTTGTTCCTGCAGAATGGCCTCAGGCATCATCACTTCCGAGCCTGCCATTGCCTGTGGGACAGACATGGATGTGGGACAGACAAACGCTGCCGGGAGGCACAGGAGGCTGAAAACAAATCTCTGTCTCCTGCAATATGAAGAGGTAACCTGTCAGCACTACTAAAGTAGGTTTAATAGCAAAGTCTGCTTGAAAACTTCTGCAAAGTCAAGCCATTTGTTGTTTGGGAGAAAACAAGCTTTTTCTGCCTCCTCTGTATTACGGGTGTGAAAGTGGAAAAATTGGCTGAAACCGATAAATGTGTTTTCTGCCTTGCTGAGCAGACTAGACAAGTGTCTGATGGAAGGTCAGCAGAAAGAGTAATTTCTTGACTAAGTTATTTTCTCTACTGGGGGAAAAGTTAACTGTGCTACCCAGGAAAGACAAGGAATGATTTCTCTTGTGTTGGGTTTGGGCAAATTCAGCAGGATCTGAGCTGCCACATAGAGTGACATGCTGGCTCCTGGGAAAAGTGGCAAGCTGCTGGCTGGATCCTGGATGGACAGGCAGCTGTTCTGGCTGTGCAGGAACAGGTCAAAAGTGCATGACAGCACTTCTTCAAGGAACTCAGTGCTGTGTCTGTGCAGGCTGTGACACTAAGTTATTCTCCAAAGCTTACAGCTCCTTGAGGCAGCTTCACTGAGGACTTGCAAGAATTCATTGGGGTTCTTTCCCCAGTTCTACCAGTCTGGCAGTGCCCTCAGGGGCTGTGCTAGGTTTTATATTGCCTTTCTCAGCCTTGATTTTCTGCTGCCCATAATTCTGCTCCTCTCCTATTAAGAGGGTTTGCTGGTATGAGTCAAAACTTTCACCACTCCTGCTTGTAACCTGCTCTTTAATACAGTCTGTAACATCTGGAAGTCTCTCATTACACCAATATCCATGTTGCCTTTGGCTCAGGGTTGGCTGAACCCACTGCCTACCTGGCATGTAAGGCAGTGGTAACACCTCCCAGCCCATCTCAGTGAGCATGCAGAGGGTGGCCAGGCAGCCCCAGAGGTGAGTGTGTGTCGCCCTGATTCTTAAGATTTTCTAAAGCCTTCTGAGTTTACATTCTGTTAGAAAACTTTCCCACAAATTTTCTATAAACAACATATTGTTTTGCATTCCTTCGTGGGGGTGGAGGAACTTGATGTACTGGTGATTTGTCCAATGTCTTTGGAGAGGTGGCCCATTCATTCTCCAATCCACTGTCACCTTTGGAAAAGTATAAAAGTTGGAGTCAGAAAATAAACCTTCTTCTTTACCTTGCCATCGCAGTGGCCCATGTTGTGCTTTCTCGTGTCCTATGGCGACAAGTGTGCATGGCATTTAGCTAAATGCCAGCAACAAGGGTCTGTCATCACTGGGCAGGATATGTGCTGATTATCCATCTCATTCTGCCCAGTATCAGTTTGTGCTGCCTGGTTTTCTGGCCAAATGTGTAGGGAGTGCACCCTGGTGTCCTGGAGGTGGGGAGGTACATTATGGTCTCATGGTGCCACATTTCCTCTTGCTTTTACTGTTTAAATGTTGTGCCCAATGCCTATATGAATGTACCACTGGGTTGGAAGATGCATTTGGCTTGGTTCCATATTTCTGCTCCCTTCTCCCAGCTGGGGTCCTTCCTTCTTGAAGAAATGCTGGTTTTTCCTGCACTGGTGAGGAACCTGGAGCAAACCATGGATGGTGAATGTGATGCAGACTTTGGCCTTAAGCAAAATCATTCCTGTGCCAATGCCACTTGCACATTTGGTGAGATATCTTTCTTCTGCTCCTGCCAGACACCACCACCCAAGGAAAAAAAAAGGTCTGGCACAGAGCTGGTCTTTGATGGGCACCATAACCCAGAGTTGTGAGGCCAGAAATGTCCCCATGAGGCTCTGATTGCAACACTGCACACTACAACAATGATTTCTTTCTTGGTTGTAGATAATAATCTTGTTGGGGCAGGGCACAATGCTTTTTCAGCTTGACATGTTACTGACACCTGAGATCTGTTTGTGAAAAACAACATGATGGTTATGAAACAGAGAAACTAACTGAAATATAACATGCCTGAGAAAGTGGAGGGAAAAGAGGGTATAAATAAGAGTGACAAATCCTTTCCTTGTCTCTGGTGAGCCCATGGTCCTGGGCCACAAAGCCCATGAAAGTTCTTCACCTCCTGGCATCTCCTCTGGCCACTCCCTCATGCCCTCCTGTTGTTAGTAGCTCTGCTGTGCTGAGCAGAGCCATCATTCACCCTTTATTCTCCTTTTTCATATAGCACAACATATCCCCATATTCCCATTTCTGGAGATTATATAGCCCCTGGGAGGGATGAGCTTGCTCAGAAAAGTCACCAGGGGAAACACCTCCTTTGAGAGTCTGAAATGGCACCAAGCCCCAGGAAACTTTGCTGTTATGGTTCTAGCTGCCTTCTCCTACTGACACTTGCAGGGCTTCAGACTTTTCTTCCTTTTGCCAAATCCTCCCTGTCTCACCATGGAGCCATGACCAATGGAAATAAATTTACAACAAACAATTTTAGGAATTTATTTGAATGTTGCTATGAAACAGGTCACGACAGCCAGTGAGAGGCTCTATTTGTGTAGACACCCACAGAGGAAAGAAGACATTTGTTTTGCTTTGAAAAATAACTCTTTCATGTGTAAAGGGCATTTTGGGTTTGGGTGGAAGGCTGCAGCCACTGAAGGGAAGATGAGCTGCAGTGGAATGTTCACTCAGTCACACAGCCTAACCAAGTAAATTTGCAAATTTTCCTTGAGGTCGTTTTGTGCGTTGCTCAATGCACATCACAAGCTGCAGCCAAACGTTCAACATGGGCTTAGAACTGGATGCACTGTAGGGCAATTAAAGTAAAATATTTCCCTCTCCTCCCTAGGCCACAAGCAAACACGGCTGCGGGTGAAGGCCAGCAGAGGAAGAATGACATCATGAAACCCAAGAGGGAAAGCAAACACCGAGCCAGCGCCATGTGCAGGTCAGCCACGGCACCAGGACAGACTTTCCTCTTTGTGACTTTGATTTCTGTGCTGTTTGCCCAGCAGGCTTTTATTGGGAAAGCTTTCAAGCACAGGTGCTATACACCACAGCTCACTGCAGAAGGATCTGACCCTCTCCCACTTCTCCACTCCTGGTGGTGGCAAATGGAGCACAACATCCTCACCCTGCCCCGATGAAGCAAGTTCCTCAAAAGGCCATTTAGTCACTCTGCACTCTGCCTGCAGCCCTGGATGGCCAGGACTTCTCCTCTGGCTCATGCTGCTCCTGCTGGGGCAGGGCTCAGGGTGGCCACCAAAGCGTGTCCCTAAAGCACAGAAGCAACTCATTTCAGGTAGCAAGGCTCCTCTAACAACACAGTGGCACTAAAAGAACGGTGGCTTTTCTTACAATGGCAAGGAAATTACCTGAATCTCATGTGATTTTAAAATTCTTTTTTATCTAGGATGGAACAGTGCTGGTGTCAGTCCCAGTGCCACAGATGGAACCTCCTTGGATGCATGCCATCCCATGCCCAGCTACTTAAAACACAAAGGTTTGCTAGTGGGCAGGGTGTACACAGGTAGGCAAACGTGCCTGCCTAGATCCAGGTGTCTGAGATGCATTTCAACAGGATCACTTGTAGGAACCAGTATTATATGAAAGTGCTGGTAGGATTGGCCCAAAGTCTCCCAAGCTGCAACATCCCCTGCATTGTCTGCTACCAGAAACACCAGGTTTTACTGAGTCCCCTTGCTTAGGCCCCCCCAAAAGTCAAAGCCAGGGCTGACACCCCTGTGCACACAGTGGCTTGTGTGGCTATAAATACACCCACTAACAAACACAGAAGACTGCCCTTCAACCAAAATGGCTGTAATTAATTTATTATGAATACAAAACCTGAACTGGCCAGGACTCGCAAAGCAGCACTATAAAAATTAAACCTTCCTGGCAATACCAGTCCCAATGCCTAGAACACTTGGTTTTGCAAAGGACCCTCACAACTGGAATAAACCCCAAAATTTATCAACTTGTTTATTTTTTTTTTTTTTTGGTAGAAGTAAGTTTCCCATGTTAACAAAAGCAGAATAGTTTTATTTAGTGTTCATCTCACACCTTTGACAGCTGCAGCTGTCAGGCACAGAAGTACAGTATTAAAATAAACTGAACAGAGTTGCTCATTGCAAAAATCACACTATGCAAACCTGTGGATTGTAACATCAACAGTATAAAATGTAACAAAATTGGAACTTTTAATTTTTTTAAGCTTTTAAAGATAATAGTCCAGGCTATAAAACTATATAAGCATTGAATAAGAAATGTTAAAGTCAACAAGTCTACAACAGATACATCTTGTAAAAACTCAATAAATTATATATATATTTATAATATCTAGTAACATTTAAAACCATGCACAGTTTTGTACATTTTCTTTTTTCAGTACAGGAAAACTCTTTGCTTCGAGTACTTGGAATGTACACAATTAGCAGACATTTGTAAGAAAATACCAAAAAATTCTTTTTTTTTATTCCAACAAAACAAAACTCTATAGAAATCTACCTTCTCAAACTCCCACTGAAGTAACCTCGAACTATAAATTATTTATTTTAGGATAAGGATTCTGTGGCTCTAAGAAGAAAAAAAAAATCTTTAAATGAGATGCTGTCATCCTGTTATTCTGCAACATTGATATGCAATATGCACCAGAGAAAAATGAAAAGAAAGAATTCAGGATGTAATTTGCTTTGCCTCTTCTGGTAGTACATAAAGAAGTCTTCTGGACAAAAAATAAAAAACCTCACCCACAACAAATCCTCAGCCCAAACCTCCCCCTGTCAGCTTGATCCATGCTAACATTCTTTAGGTCACTCCTGTGCTTTCACACAGCTATCTGGCATTGAGGAACAGAACAGCATAGCATTCTAAACACCAAAAATCAGGCATCACTGGCACTTTCCAATGTGTTAGATGCAAAAGAAATATGCAGCTGTAGCAGCTCTCCTGCAAACAGTGTCACTATTTTGCTCACATGGCATTTCTGAAGCCGAAAATACAACAGTACTGGCAAAGAGGAGAGAAAAAAAACCTACCCTGCACCATCCAAAGTCAACATTTCACTTTGCTGCATACTTGTTATTAAATCGACCACAAAGAATACCTTCATTTGAAAATAGAAAAATAAACACCCACACCCCCTTAATGCACAGTGGTTAAACTGATGGAAGAATTCTTGGCCCTGTTTTTCAGAAATATGTAAAAATCATCTCTCTGCTGCTATTTGCTTGGTTTTAACCACTGGTGATGTATTGAAAAATAAACTTACCTTTGCTCACTGCAATCCAGGATAAACTAATATTTTTTTAATGAATACATATATATATTTATAACATTAAATGTAATTTGTTAAAGGACTGTACATCTATACATTCTTTCAATATTTCCCATAAACACAAAGGAAAAACTTGATTAATATATTTTTCTCCATTTTTAATAAGTTAAAAAAAACACCCTTAAGTTTGGTGAAATTTAAAGTTTACAGTAACGCTATACTATTTAAACCAATGAACAGATATGTTAATGTCTATAAATAACTTTACAAATATACATGTTAAGGTACAATTTTTAAAACAAAACTGTGAAGATACAAAACAAACAATCAAAAACATCTTTTCTTTTGCCCAGATCAGTATATCCTAGATTGCAATGCTCATATTTTGAGACTCTCTCTCTCAGTACTGCTTTATGTTGCATTAGTATTATACATTCTTTTATTTTAATATATTTATTTATATATATACACGATATATTTATAGATATATACACAGATTCTCTGGGATAAACCTTTTTGATATAAGTTAAAGGCTCTTGCCTACAGGTACCCGTAACTTCTCTATCCAAGTCACTGCACATCGATGGAGCCAAACCTCTGGCGTCGAGGGGTGGATGGAGGAGCTGCTCCCCCCACTCACCCTTGGCAAGCAAGAACTGGCAAACCCCAAAAATGAGATTTATTCCTTTCCCCCCGCTTTTGGCTGTTCTCAAAGGTCAGGGTGTGACTTGAGATGCCGTGTGGGCTCCAGGAGCCAGGTGTCAGGGCACCCTCTGCTCTCAGGTGGGTGATGCTCTGCTCCCCAGGGACCCCTGGGGTCTCTGCCCATCCCTGGGGTCTGCTCCTGCCTTGGCTCGGCCCCGTCGCTCCCAGCCCCGTGCAAGGGCCAAGGCGCTGACACTTCAGATGACTTGACCACCTCTCTTTTTACTATTTTTACTTTCACTTCTCCATGACAATTTGCATTTTACTTAACTTTGCTTTCTCTTCTTCCAAAAAGGATTCCTTCTTATGTAGCTGGGTAGTACGATCACGAAGCTATAAAAACGACGACAACAAAAATATAGATATTTTTATAAATATATGAATCCCTGCAGGCAACGTGGCTTTTCAGCTCCACCAAAAAGGTTCATGTACAGATTGCATAAGCGAAGAATTTCCACATTCTTTACACTTTTTTTTTTTTTTGCATGTTTNTTTTTTTTTTTTTTTTTTACTTTTAAAGGAAGATTTCTTTTTCTCTTTTCTTCGTATTGCAGGCACAGAACGGTTACTCTGGCACTCGGAACGCAAGCGTGGAGGCTGGGAGGTGTCAGCGCCCCCCAGGTTCAACATTCTGCGTAGTGAAAGAAAAATCCCTAACAAAATGGAAAACTAAACCAAAAAAAAACCAAACAAAAAATCATCTAGGATAGATCATCTTGGCAAGAGATTATAGTTCCTTCAGGCCAAACAGTGCTTCTTGACTTTTCATACAGCAATAGGGAAAAAAAAATTAAAAAAAAATATATAAAAAGTTAATTTTTTTTTAAACCCTGAACAGCTTGTCAACAACACAAATCTCCAGGCACCACCACACAGTTCCACTGGAAGATCCTTCAGTACGGTTTCATGCTGGGCGCCCCGCACTCGCCACGGGCACACTGCCCACCTGCCCGTCCGTCCGTCCGTCTGTCCGTGTCCCTGGGGCTCCTCACGTCCGGATGACGCCGTTGCAGGGCGGGCGCTTGGGCAGGCAGGGCTCATCGGGCAGCAGGTCATGTGCAAAGACCGAGTCGTCCCCTGAGGAGCACGTGCTGTGGGTGTCCTGGCCGGCCGGCGAGTACTGCTCGAAGGGCACCGACAGGTCCAGGTACTCCTGCCAGGGTGACAGAGCCATCAGTGCTGCGTGTCCCCCACGCCAGGGAACAAGTGACCCCCTCCCACGCCCACCCCGCCACACTCACGTCAGTGGATGTCACAGTGAGGACCCTGTCCAGGTCTTCCACCAGCTGCTTGAAGGTGGGTCGCTGCGAGGGGACAGCGTGCCAGCACTCCCGCATGATCATGTACCTGCACGTGGGGACACGGGACAGTCACGTGTGGTCAGGCCAAGTGACACCCACCCACCTGCTCGCCCATCTCCAAATCGCTGAAGGAACAGCCGTGGCCAACGTGGCTTCAGCCATGGCCAGCTGGGGGGAAGAGGAGGGTTTGTGAAGCCATGGTCCTCATCACTGATCCTCTGACACATGAGCGTGCCCTCAGAGCAGGAGGAGGACCTGTCCTGGCAGTGACACACCAGAGCTACACCCCCAGGTGCCACCCACCCAGCAAGGGGAGGTGCTGCGTGTCGCACAGCATGGGCTGAGCAAAATCTACCTGGAGATGGCCACACAATTTCCCAGTGGGGAAGTCCCAACAGCCCAGAGCCCAGAGCCCAGCAGGGTGTTTCTGGCCTCAGAGAGAACAGGGAGTGGAGCAAGGTCAGCCCCCAGCACACACTCACAAATCATGGGTGCAGTTTGCAGGTTTGTCCATCCGATGGCCTTCCTTCAAGAGCTTGAAGAGCTCCTCAACGGGAATTCCTGGGTATGGAGACCCTCCCAAAGTGAAGATCTCCCATAGTAGCACTCCAAAAGACCAGCTGGAAACCAAAGAAAGATCTTTAAAATTCAATGAGGTTTTTTTTTTTTTTCCAAACCCCCCCCATATCCCATCCCCCTTGCTCAGCTTTATTTCTGTGCAGCCATGCATATCTAACAAAGTCATCAATAGCATGACTAATTGCCTAGGCCATTTTTACTAGTTACTTGGAGATCTCTACTGATCCAACTCAATAGCAAAGAAATCCCAGGCACCAAGTCTGAAATTGAAATGAGCATTTAATCAGATAGGTGACAGCCCATCTATCACCGCCAGCTCTTTGTTAGGTCTTCCACCAGCTCCACTGAATGGAACAAATCAAATTATTCATGCACGGCTTCACTGAATTGCAGGCTTGGAACCACAGGCCACTAATTGTGCAAGCTGATACCAAAACTTGCTTGTTACAACACCCATTTCACTGGCCAAGCAGGGAGAAAAATACCCCAAAAAAAATCAGCAGAGCACTAATGTTACACACTTCAGTCCCACAGCTGTGCTCTGGTTAAAAGTCCTATTTTTCAAAAATATCTTTTGCCTTCTTCATTTTCTTTCTAAAAACAGGGATTATCTGTCTCTGTTTCACTTTCATGCACACTCACTTTCCCATTCTCTAGCTTTGATTTATCTGTCATGCCTTCTGCAGCATTACCTAAGCAAGGAAACTATGATTTAAGATCAATAAAAGCCAAAATATCTAAAAAATACAGAAATAGAAAGGATTTGTTTGTCCAGTTGCGAGCAGTGAGCTCTGGGGATAAGGCAGGCTAGCTATAAAAATGCCACTATTGATCAAATATTACAATAAAAAGCTAGTGTATATGTGGAGCTGCTTCAGCCCTTGCAAAATTCAGATGTGTTACTCATTTACATGTAAGGAGTGCTCTGCTGTTTGGTTACTGTGCAGAGGGACTAAAACAGATGAGACAGGATTACGAAAAATAAAGAAAATAAATGAAATGGCAAAATTAATCCAGGACTGTATTTGCTGAATATTCTTTGATCAATTCTAACAAGAGACAGAATATTTCATGCTCATTCCATATCCTTGACTGAAGCATAACAGTCTGGGTCAAAGTGTGGAGAACGCAGAGGGTAATTTTTTTTTCATGAGGTGTTTTTGGCACAGTATTTTTCAACTGCTGGATGAATCACCTCATCTATAAAGTGGACGAAATACCTGCCTGCTTTCCAGTAATTTTTCAACAGCTCCCTAGAGACCCTCAGATGAAAGCAAGCAGATAACAGCAAAATAAAACCACGTGCGTGAAGATGCAGCTTGGAATCAGTTCCTGTACTTTTGCATCCCCAGGCACTCCAGCAGGAAACAAGCCCTGGTCATGCTTAGCAGTACTTTTGTCTGTAAGCTACTATAGGTGTTGGTTTCCCTGTTGTATTATTTTCTTTTTTCAAAGTGTGGGTTTGCTTACACATCGCTCTGGTGAGTATAGACCCGGTCAAACAAGGCTTCTGGAGCCATCCATTTCACAGGCAGCCGACCCTGTAATTAGGAAGACAATGGGAACACCCCATCAGCATATTCCCCCAGCCACAACGGCACCATCTGAATCTTCTTTTCTAATCCAGTTTGAAACATTTTCATTAACAACCACATCTGCCTTCCCGGTCACTGGGCAAAGCAGCAGTGGCCACATATAAACAGATTAGAGCATTTGATCCCTGGATCTTCACTGACAATCTCTTCAGTAAATGCTCTCTGTAGAGGACTGTATTTCACTGCCAAGGCAAGTTTAACATATCAGTGCAACTAAATCTTTGCATGGGAACAGCATCTAAGGCTCAGAGATGCAGTGAACTCTGTGGAAGAGCATGGGACAACACTTTCCATCTCTTTGTCTGGAAAGTACAGTTGACTAAGTCCAAACTCAGTTTAGGCTCAACTTGAAGGGAAACTTCTAAAGAGTGAAGGCAAGGCCCAGGTCCTCTAAGATACAAATCCTGATCCTGCTGGAGGCTAAAGGAGGAGGTCTGATCCCGTCCTACATCAGGGTCATAAGCACAGACTGTCATGTGAGAAATACAAGATGAGAAAGACTAGATTAATCATAATTCTCTGGGGCTTTGTTTGGCCCCTGGAGGGAGACAGAAAGTACTGCTTTGTGTTTGAACCATAATTTGGATATGGGGGAGCTTTGTCCTCTTCTCACCCACTGTCTCACTGTGGGAGATGACTAGAGATGAGACACAGCCAGGATATATAAATGGGATTATGTTCTCAGTTGTCCCACACAGCTCAAACTGGGAAAAATCCATCTGACCTGTGATTAAAATTCCCAAGAATTCTTATTAATTTATAATCAGAAATCCTGGCAATTAAGGAAGATTTCTGATATACGGCTGAAGTGGATCAGAATGGACATGGTGGACTTCAAAGGACTGCTTGGACATTTAAACCCCTTGCAATCCCAAGACCCACGGGTTCTGCCCTGCCCTCAATCCTCACTCTGTCCTAGTTAGGGTTTTCCCTCAGGGCTCAACATCTGCTGCAGGCTCTGAACCAAGACAAAGGGCTTATTTTCTCAGACCTTTATTTGTAAATTCATCCCTACAGAAAATATAAACAGCTCCAGGCCTCAGCCCCTGTATGAGACCATCTTCTCACTCTTGGCAGTGGAGCGAAGAAGCTCAGATGTAAAAAAGAGAGAAATACATGAAAGACAAGTAGATCCAGGTAGACAAGAAGTGACATTACTCTGTCAAGGGCTCTGGTGAGACAGAAGTTAGCTCCTTGGGACCTTTATGAACAGCGGTGGAGCAGACTGGTAAGGGCTCCATTCCTGTTGGGGAGAAACCTCAGTTTCTCTCAGTCTAAAGCACCCTGGCCAGAGCTGAAACCTCACAACCAGCAAGACCAGGATCTGTCAGGACAAAAACAGATGGTGGATAGACTCCTGGGACCAGCCTATCTACAGTCCCTCACCAGGTAAAGTCCCTGTCAGATTTCTTCCTCCTAAGCCCCTCTAGAAAGGGAGATGTGAGACAAAGCCCTCTTGCTGCAGGGATAACCAAGTTCCCTGCCAGAACGAGAACTGTGTGTGCTCGGCAGCTCTGTACTTACATTGGTGGTTTTCTTGTAATAGTCAATGTTGTGAACATCTCTGGCGAGGCCAAAATCAGCTATTTTCATCACATTATCTTCAGTGACTAACACGTTCCTGGCTGCCAAGTCGCGATGAATGCACTGTGAAAGGTGAGCAAGCCAATAAATAAGGGCTCGTTAGCCGCTCACGCCTGGAACCAACAGCACCGTGTGGTTTATGAGCTGCCGTTTCATTGACTCCCAGGCTCATAAAGCTGTGGGCACTGCTTAGCTCCTGGCTCTGTGTGTCACCACCCCACCGTGCCTGCTCAGTGGGAACCCCCTCTTAGCAACACCTAATCGGCGGCCTCGGAGCCGGCACGGCCACGCAGGCACCTTTTCTCTCCAGACAGAATGTATGGATGAGAAAGACAGCTCCCCTCCTCTGTGGGCACTTACTGGCACGTGCAGCAGCTTTTCTCTGCTGCTTCCACCAGGAAGAGGAGTGTAGGATGTTTAAGGGGAAAGGGATCTTCAAATTAAAGTATCCCAAATACATCCAAAATACAGACTCGCAGAATGGTCTGTGTTGCTGGTGCTTTTATAGGCATTTTGGGGGTGCTAACGGTCCTCCAGGTGACAGCTGTACAGCTGCATGGTTCAGGAATGCAGACAGCATATAGAGATTTTTCGTATGGATGGAGCCTCCATATACTTCATCCAGCAAAATCTGGCCTCTAAAGGGAGAAGCCTGCAATGTTTTGCCTGGGGTTGTCCCACACACAGAGCATTCCCTGCCTTTGAACACGTGGCTTTCACCAAGGCTTCCACCAGATGAGCTTTCTCAACTCACTTTCTGAGATGCCAGGTACTCCATGCCCCGTGCCACCTGGTAGGCACAGGAAACCAGGTCCTTAAATGTCAGCTGCTCCTCGGGCAGCTTGCAGGTGTCAAAGGAGTAGTCCATGCCAGGTGGGCGACGTGCCCTGAGGTATTCCCGCAAGTTCCCCTTTGACGCGTATTCCACCAACACGTAGAGTGGTCCTGCAAGGAACAGCACATCAGCACCCAGCAGAGGAAGACCTGACCACCCAAATCTCATCTGGGCCATTCTGGGCAGCCAGTAATTACAAACAAGGGATGGCCAAATCTGAGCCTTCTACAACCCAGTTAGTACCGGCTCCTCTGCTACGTACCGTCCTGCGTGCAGGCACCCAGGAGGTTAATAATGTTTTTGTGCTTCCCAATCATTTTCATCATTTCCATCTCAGAGACCAGGTCAGAAAGGTCTTTGTCTGTGGCATCATCTGGAGAAAGTAGAGCAGGAAAGCAAAAAAATGTCAGAAAGAAAATAAGTGTTTAGGGGTATACTTACAACTGCTGTGCAGCCATGTGGGACTTTGATGGGGAATACTCAGAATATGGTATTTGGCTTTATTCTACTTAGGGAAGAAGAATAAAAACAAAACCTACTACCATGGCAACAAAAAAAGATAAAAGAGCAAATAAGTGGAGGTAAATGTTCATATGGAAATCAATAATGCCTTTTGTCTTCTGTTTCATCCTCAGAAGTGTTAAAGGAAAAAAATTCAAATTTTGGTACCCGCTTTTCTGATAGTTTCTATCCCTCATCTCTAGAGGACAGGAGTTAATGATGGTGGAAGGTCAGGGCTGGGAGCAAATGCATTTTTTGGATGAGAAGTTGCAATGTCTCTGCAAAATTAGAAAAATCTATCTACAAAAGTAGAAAGATTGGGAAAACCTCCTCAAAGGAATGTTTTGGTTCAGAAAGATGGAAATGTTCCCACTTTCAAAACCAGCTTCAGTAAAGACAAAAGGAAATGTAAATTAATTAAACCCATTTCTAGTAAGAAATATGACTTTTTTCGCTAATGTCCCCCCATGTAACCTCAAGCCCAGGCTGCTCACTGCCCTGCTTGCTCCAGGTGAACTCCTCAGCTGTCGGGGGGCAGGATGGGAAATGAAGACTTATCCAGAGGTGCCCACTGAATCCCCCATTTCTGTCTCCCTTTAATTTCTCAGGTGTCTGGGACCAAGTTTCCTTAATGAAAAGCTCCTGAAGAAGGAGTTTTGTCAGCTGAAATTCCCCAAGCTCCATCTGAGGTTGCTGCACAAGCTTTTGGTAGAACAGGCAGTGCTGGTTAGGGGAGGAGTAAGGAGTGGGCTGATTCGTGGAGCTGGCTGGAAGAGACGGGGATTCCCCTTCTTCTTAGGGATGCTACTACTACCCCTTGGCAGAGAACTGGACTAATTCCCAGTCCCTCTTCCTGATGGGATTTGCACTTTTGCCTGCTCTCCAGGGACAGCCCTCACCCCCAGGCTATGTGGGTAAAGGGGAGGACAGGCTGTTCCTGCTTTCTTCTATTGTATCTAGTTTGTGTAAAAGACTTAAAAGAGAAGCAAAGAGAGGAAATCCCAGCACAATATGCTGTTCTGTCCTCTGTGGACTCCCCATACCTTTTAGCATCTTGACAGCAACTGTGATGGCCTTGTTTGGCTTGTCCTTATCAATCCCAATCGCTTCTGCCATCACCACTTGGCCAAAACACCCCTCGCCAAGCGGCTTCCCCAAGGTCAGGCTGGGTGGAGGGAGGAACAAACAGGTATGTTAGGAGGGTCCTGGTGTGGGGACACTCCCAACAGAGATCCCAGCCCTGGCTCTGACTGACCGAGACCGTGTCAATTCCCACTTGGGATCTGGAGGTAGTTCCAGCTCGGAAACATTGGCCAGCATCGGCCCATCGCTGGAGGAGAGGCGCGTGATCCGGACCAGCGGCGTGTTGGAATTCATGGAAGAGTTGGACTCCAGCGACACCTGCTTGGGTAGAGCAAATGAAGTGTTATTGCCAACTGTATCCCCAGGGCAGGCCGGGCCCAAGATGGATCACTGAGGAGGTTGGAGCTCTCTGGGCCCATGGACAGAATTCTGGGAATTTCTAACTGGGAAATGCCCCACCCTTGCAGAAATCCACTCATTTAGGCACTTGTGGTCAAGTGTTTAGCAGATGGAAAGGAGGGACATGTCAGCCAGTGCCCTCCAGCATCAGGAGGAATAATCCATTTCAGTTGTTCTGCTGCATCTCCACAGCCCATACAGACTATGAAGTGACTTCTCCCATCCTGGCATTGTCAATGCCCACCGTGAGCTTGCAGCCAAAACTTGAAATCCATACCCCTCACTGTGGGGTTTATGGGGTGTCTTTTGGTCCTGCCCCTCTGCAATTTCATGCAGCAGAACATCTCTTAACTTCACAGAGGACCTTTGCCACCATCACAGCAACAGCTTTGGGCTCACCAGTGACATCTGTGAAAGCAGGAATGAGCACAATCAGTGCTCTTTCTCCCCAAATTCCTGCTCCTCCAGGGAGCCTGGACTGGACTTCCTCTGCTAGATGTGCTTTCTGTGGCACTCACAGCTGCACTGCCAAAACCTCTTGGGCAAGGCCAACAGCAGTGGGGGCTGCTCACGACCCAGAGTCAGCTGCCACCTCTGCCAAAGCTCCACAGGCATAGAAATAAATAAAAGGGGGTTACACTTCTTTGGGGCAAAAAATAAAAAAATAAAAAATAAAAAAAAAATTAAAAAAAAAAAAGGAGGGATACCATAGAGGGGAATAGGAATCTTGTATCTACTTTCTGTTACCTGTCTCTTGAGTGGGAATTTGGAGACTTTCTGAACAGTGGGGGTGTTCATGGCTTTTTTGTTTGACATTTTCATCCTCCAGACAATCACCAAGACCAGCACCAGGAGAAGGAGGAAAAAGCCAGTGCCATAACTGAGAATGCCAGTGTACACTGAGCCCGAATCATCCATCTCCATGAGCTCCTCGGCTGCAGGGTGACAAAAGATGGCAGTCAGGACAGGGCGGGCAGCTGCCCACACACAACTACACACACACAGCACAGAGAATATGGGCAGGACTTGTTCAGCTATGTCAATCTCAGTGAATTCAGTGAGGGGACTCTCCCAGGCCAGTGGTTTTCCACCTGCAGCTGTAGCTGCAAACATTAGTTTGGTTTGTTCTTTTTGGGGTAATTTTACTTTGGGTTTTTAAGAGCCACCAGCCCATAGATTGAAAACCACTGCTCTAGGCTGAAGGCACCTTCACACGTCTGTGCTGTCCCTCTGACCAAGACCTTGCACCTCTCCACACATCCACACAACGTGGCTGGATGCCTTGGATGTGCAAGACTGGGTTTGCTGCACTTTGCTGATTCAGATTCTCCATCCACCAGACTAGTGCCTGCCCTGAGGGACCAAGGGGCTTGAACAGCACTCAGCAGTAAGGCATCACACAGGGAGAAAGCCTCATGAGAAAAATCTGCTTAATTATTTAATGAAAACTTAATTCTGCTGGGAAGAGGCTGGAAGGTCTGTCCCAGAGAGGCGGGATAGCCAGGAGGGTGATGGCATGAGCCCATCAGCAGTGGCTACCTGCCTGCAAGACTTCTTAGACACCAGCAATGGTGTTTTCTGTGTTTTCTGTTTTTTCTGTGCTTTCTCCCTTGTTCTTTTCAGGACAGGCATGTTGACCAGAGGAAGGAGACATAGTGGGACTGATTTTCTGTCCCCCAAAGTTGTGTTGGCATCAGAGGGACAGTCAGCAGTGAGAAGCTTTATAATGAAGTCATGCTGGTGTGGATAGCTCAGTAATGGGTCGTGTCCATTGCTGAGCAGTCCCTTCAGCAAGCAGCAGGAGCCTTTCCCTGGCAGCAGCAAGCTCTGTTTCAAGTATTTGGTGGCAGAGCCCAGGAGGACATGGACATGACAAATGTCATGTTGGTGACATTGGGGACTGCTCCAGCCTGTGAAGGGCCTGATCCTGCCAATGGCCATCTCCTCCCACAAAACAGGAGTACCAGATCTCTGGGGTCAGGCACTGTGGTTGTGCTGCAGCTGCCTTGCCCTCTGCTCCCTGTCCCTCCTCCTGTAGCATGGACAGGGCATTGCAAGCTGAAGCTCCCCAGATGGGCTGTATCCTGCACCCCTCTCTGTGGGGGCCTGCTGCTGCACAGATAGCTGTCCTTCACTGCATCTGACTTCAAAATAAAGTTCTACTTTTTGATTTTTGGTCAGTTTTCTCCTGCTTATTATTTTCTTGAATAAGAGGTGTGAATTCATGAACTGTAAAAGCAGAGTATGAGTCAGATGAGACAATACCGTGATATTCTGAAAATAACAGAGACATTAGTCTTCTAACCAAAGGAAATGTTTTCTCATCAGTGGATGTCAGAAACAGAAACAGGATCAGATCAGCTATTACAGAGCTGGCAAATAAAACAGGAAAGATCAGCAGATCCCACTGGCAGCAGGGCTGGGCATGGAGGAGACCTTCTTAAGCCCCCATAAAAGTGATTATATCCAAATCACCCGCACAGATAAAGTCAAGATTAGAAATGCCAAAGTTTCCGGTTCCTAAACACATCCTGAGATGGATGTGTTGTGAGATGGACCCAAATGTGGTCAGTCTATGGGTGAATCAAAGTGGGCTCTTTAGAATTTTGGGTGCCTTTTCAGTAAGGGTGTATTGAACATACTCAAGGTTTGTTTCTGTACTGAATGCAAGGCACAGCATATGTGAGGTTCAATATGAATATTGCTGGGACTTCCCTGGACCACGCTCAAGCCTGCCCTGCAGCCAGAGGCAGATTCAGCAGGTGAAGGGGCAGCACAGCCTCATTCCCCCTTTTGCAGAACAGATCTCTCTGTTGCACAGTCTGTGCTGGCTTCATTGTCAATAAGGGCTTTGCACATGAAAGGACCACAAAATTGAGGTCACTCTGGCCTCGGGTTTCAAGCCCACTGCAGCTTTCATCGATCCCAGCTGGAGCAGGCAGCATGCAATGCCCCTGGGAGCCAGGACTCCTGTGCTCTGCCTACAGATGACTCTCCTTGACCTTCTGTTTGAGATCACTATCTTGGCCTGCTCATGCGTGAAGTGGAAATAATGCTACAGGCAGGGAAGGGTGTACTCACACCAGACACTTATGCATCTAATTTTAGGTTAAGATATGAGGTCAGACAGAAAGGATCCTTCCCAAGATGATCCACAGTTCATGTCCAATTTAGGTGCCCTGGATCATCTGATGGGGAGGTTTTCTTCGCCCACTGTCAGAGTAAGAAGACAAAGCTCCTTATTTTGGCACTTAACAGTCCTAGCAAAGAGGAGGTGAATACCTGCCTGTTATTAGGCAAAAAAAAAGATTCTGTGTATTTTACTGTATCACTACTGCAATAATTTAAATTTTGATATACAATGCAGAAAGAGTCAGCTGCAAGTATGCAACAGGGTTCTGCAGCAAATCCCAGAGAAGGTCTCCCTGGAAAACTCCCCTGCTCCAAGCAAGGGGCAGCCTCCGGGAACTTGGCATTTCCAAAGCAAAACATTGAGGCATCCTGGAGAGGGAAGGAGAGGCCAGCACAGAAGGAAATACCTGGTAGCACCGTCAGCCAAGCAGAGTGATGTGAGAACCCAATAGAATTCCCTGCGAGACAAGTATATTCCCCAGCATCCTCAAAAGTAACATTTCGCAAGTACAGAATCTCTAGCTCCTTATCCGTTGTGTTAACACCTGCCGTCTACGGGGAAAAAAAACACACACATATAGAAAGAGGGAAAACAGAGAATAAGCCACATTCCCAGCAAGTGTGAGGACACCACAGGCAAATTTCAAAAGCAGATTAAAGTGGTTCTTTTTTATTATTATTTTCCAATGGCCCATCTTCCACATTTATTTATTCATTCCCCTCTGCAACCTGTAGTCAAAAGCAAAAAAAAAAAAAAGTCCCTTCACCAGGTTCTTACTCTGTCCCACTAAAGAAGCATGCAAGCAAAAGCGTCCAAATGAAAAATTGCCCCCACAATATGACTGACTTTGGGTTAGTGAGGTGAGTAGAGGGGTGGGGAAAGAGAGATGGGAAATGGAAATGAGGACAGACAGAAAGAAAGGGGAAAGGAGGGGAGATGTAGTGGGGAAAGATTCAAGTGCTGATCAAAGGAATATATAAACATGGTTCATGAGTTCATTGAAAATATAGAATTCTAGAATTTTTTAGAATTTCTTCAGTGGGCATCTCAAAGCCATATATTGATTACACAGACCTTGACACTGCAGTAGAATCTGGCTTATAACCAGAGGATGCCTTTAAGGAACTTTCCTGCAGTGGCACCAAATAATACAGCAGTCAAACCTTCTAGGCTGGAGTCAAACCCCAAAGCCCATGAGATTGGTTCTCCTCTCTAGTTAACATGTTTGCTTGAATGAGCCAATGTTGATATTTATTTCTCCATTACTTCTCCAAGAGACAGAACTGATTAATTCAGTTTTGTAGGTGAAAAACACAAAACAGTTTGGTTTTCCAGAGCTTGGAACATCACAGGTTATTAACATGCAATTCTGTTATCAGCACTCAATTGTAAGGAAAGGAAAGGAAAGGAAGTATGAAGAGTTGATAGTAAAATTTGACAGTCATTTTATTGTGGGAATTTTTCCATGGCAATTGCTGTATAGGCGTTACAGTCTTGTAAAAAAAAAAATTAGCAAGAAAATAAGATAAAGCCATTCAGCGTCAGTTGACAGGGTATAATACAAAATGAATAGTAATTTTAATCACTAGATTCTTAAAAATGTTATAGCTCATTCTTGCAGTTGCCAGGGCCTTGGGACAGAGTCTGTAGTTTACCTGGTTTTGGTTTGCGAATGTGGAGCCAAAATGGCTTTTCGGCTATGCCTACGAAATTGTTGGCTCTACACAGATATTCTCCTTCATCTTGTTCTGTCACATTGAACAGATTTAGGTTAGCATCGGCTTCAGCGTTTTTACTGATCCAAGACTGCAGGAATAGACAGAAACCTGAACTTCAGTAAACCAAACAATAGCTCCATCGCACCTACATCAGCCAGGATTGACTGCACGGCTGTGCCGGCATCCCCGGCTCACCCTGTGGTGAGACACCGACCCCAGGACTGGGTGGTGGAAAGAAGTTGCCTTTGGCCCCCAAACCACGTGCAGGTGAAATCCCTTCCCTTCACACAGGCGATTTCTTTTTTAAAACAGAACAGTTTGCCCCTTCTCCATCTGACAGCAGTCAAAGGCTCGATGGTTTCTTAATAACTCTGCAGACAGGAGCACCAGAGAAAGGGCTTAAGCAGAGATTTGTGTTTGCAACCCGGCTCAGCAAATACTGTTTCAATTATCAGATTCCAAAATAGAATTTGGAAACAAAATATAAGCAGTGGCAGTCTGAAACTTGCTGCTGACTTTGCCTTTCAGAAATTAGCTGTAATTTTTTCCACTGCTTATAGGAGCCTCTTCTTTACTAAATAAAGTGGTGTATATAAATCAAACAAACTTCAGACTTTTAAGCAATGTGTTTATTTCTCTTCTAAGCTGCCACAACAGCACATCAGCTTCTTCCCAAAACACTAAACAGTTGTTTTTATTTTGGCTGAAAATGCATAACTGTTTTTAAGTGGCCTCAGAAGAAGCTTCAGTTCTGGAAATGAAAATAAAGCAAATGTCTTCTCTGTTTTGGTCTTACACTCTCCAGCCCAGTCTTGATGCCTTTCATTTCCAAGCCTGATCCTGCCAATATGACTTGCAGCTCATTAAAATCATGGAGGCAGCCAGCTCTGATAGGTCATTAGGAACTGAACCCAGAGGAGGCACCAGAGAGGAGCCCCAGTATCCATGTCTGATGACAAACACCACCAGTTTTGACCTGAGCTCATCTCCAAGGCTTACGTGCAAGTCTGTCTGCCCTGACTAGTGGGGAAACGTGCCTGCCTGCTGTTGCTGCCTTGTTTATAATTAAACCAGGCATGTTTCAATGCAGAATGTACCATTTAGCTCTTGACAAAGCTTGGGCACAGTGTTGCCAGCCCCCTTCTGTAACTGGAATGCATTTAGTGCTCTTCTGCAAAGAAAAAGGGGTTTTCTTTGATCACAAATTAGCTCAGGCTTTCAGGAATTGATGCAGGTGATGGCTTGGTTTTGTCAGGCTGTTTAAAAAATGGTTTCAAAGTACAGCATTCAACTTATCCATCTGGACTTGGGTGGGATTTGACACCCCCTCACCCTCCCCTTTAGATGTACAGGGGGAAATTTCACATGCTGGGCACCTCTCTGACTCCCTTGCTGTGATGGAGACTGGGATATTCCCCATATTTAACTGCCCTATAGCAGCTCCTACACGCCACAAAATCTCCTGAAAGCAGGAGGGAAGGGCAGGCTGATAAAAAAACCCTTATCTCCCTGCAGGAGAGCAGCATGGGGCAGGAGAGCAGTTCTGTGAGCAGGGGGGCTGTTAACAGCATCCTGCTCCTGCCAGGGTGCTGGGGCAAGGCAGCAGCACCGCGTGGCATGAGGAAACCAAGTCCATAAAGCCAATGGACCAGCCCTGAGATGACAGCAAGATCATTTTATCAGATCTTCACATATAAAAAACAAGCACACCACATTTCAGAAGGAAAAGAAAAAAAAAAAAATCCCTGCAAAGCTGGGTCTGACACAGCTCTGTGGAGGCCCAGTACTGGCGCACAAAAGATGCATCCCAAAATGGAAATGCTCCGTGCCCCAGCGCTGATGCCGGCATTAATACAATTCAAAGCATTCCTGATTAACCAGAAGTAGTAAATAGACGTGTGCTGGTCCTATTCAGCAAAAAAACATAAAACCAAACAAAACTTGTGCTTTCAAACGCCTGCCTGTGCTCCCCTTCGAGGAAAGCGGAGCCTTTGCAGTCCACAGAAGAGAAGGTATTTGGCAATTCTAATTACCTACCCACCCCGGTGCCGCTCCAACTTAATTTTAAAACACTATTTATACGGACTATTTATATGTTCTTTGCCACGGCAAAATGGGGGCTTGTGCTTGTGACACAAGGCACTGTTCACAGCCGCTTTGCAAACTTCCAAAAGGTAGCACTTTATCCCACGGGGACCACACACGGAGCTCGGAGACTATATGAGATGGCATGTGACACAACCAGCTATTCAGAGCTTGGTGCTGGGCTGTGAAACCAGGGGGAAATTCAAATATGCATAATTCAAACACATTTGGAGAGGTGGTGAGAAATAAAAAGTTTTCTAAACTTGCGAGAAGCACATGTTGCCAGTCCTGAAGAACTGTCTCCAACCATTTCTTCCAACCAATCTGTTATTTCAATCTGTGTAATTATTTCCAGGGTCTCTGGCTTTTATTATAATGTATCTGGCTGCGTTACAGTTTTGTAGATACTGTCTGATAAGTGGTGGTTGTTTTTTTTAAAACTTCATACAAAGAGAAGAAGGGTGTGTGCAGTAGGATGTGCACAGGGAATGTCCATACACAGGACAGCCTCAGAGACAAAATCTGCTTTCAGCACTAACTGCAGAGCCAGAAAAACTCCATTTAGCCCTATATATTATAATAAACACCACCACATGATGCTTTAACTATTTTTTTTTAAGTATTTTAGAAGTCAAATGTGCTCCTCACTCCCTATTCCCTGCTTTTATATTTACATTGGTTGAGGGAAACCAAATCCTCTGGCTTTGTTATGGCTGTAATCTGAAAGTTGCCTTTCAAGAAAGCATTTTAGCAAAGTAAAGTCTTACTATGTACTTTCTGCTCAATTAAAAAAAAGAAACAACGGCTTTTCTGAGCATTGATAACAGCAATGTTCACAAATTTAGTGACTGGAACAAGATTATGTTGGCTCTCAAGTGCTGGTAGTTCAGCATTATTTGGTATGTGCACGCTGCAATGTGCTTCCTTAGAAAAGGAAGAATGTGTTTTAGTTGGGAGACTTTTATTTTAATAAACTCTGAAAATACCTCCATTGAAGCTGTAAAAAAAAAAGGTATTTTTACAATTTTAGGTCACATGTAATCTGACAGCTCTTTCATTGTGCTGCATGTCTCACAACTGCCTCAGCTCTTACAACTTTGCTTATCTGTGCCACCACAGTAGTAGTGTTATCTCTGGCAAACAGAAGAGTTTGGAATATGGATTTCAGGACATTTTTGCTGCATCCCCTCCAAAAAGAAGAGTATTCCACTGGGCAGAATTACAGAAGGACTGCCCTGAGGGTGAGGAGGAGCATGTACCAACCTTCAGCACTGTGACATACGGGGTTCCATCGGGTCCATATTTGCTGCCATTGACTTCCACATGTTTCAGCCACTGGATGTGAGGCTGGGCATCGCTGTAGACCTTGCAGTGAAATTCCACATTGCTCCCTACCACCACAGTCTGGTTGGCAGGGAGCCCTGCCTGCAGGATTGGTCGGTGGGGCGACCTTTCTGAAAAACAGAAAAGAAATCCTAATTTACTTGTCTTATTTTTGCCCAGCAAGTATTCTCCTCTGAAACATTAATCTCCTGTCTTTTCAGGGGAAAGGACACAAATTAGGTTTGTCCCCCACGGGTGTCCTGATCACTGTTCTACCCAGGGCTTCTCAAGCCAGATGGGGAATGACCACCTGGGAAGGGAGGGGGCATTTCAGCCCTCCCATTCCTTCTTTAAGCCCTCTGCAGACCCACTAAGTAATTTCCTGATCACAGATGAGAGCCCAAATTGTTGGCCAAAAAGAAGCTCGCTGTTGGTTTTAGAAGACACACGATCCAACACTTTGGGAAAGAAACCAAGCTCCTGTTCCCCATATCCTACTCCACATGGGCACAGATCAGCTGTTGAGGGAAAACAGTGGGATCTCACCTAGCACATCCAGCTGGTAGGTGTGCCTAATGTTGCCATATTTGTTCTCCACGACGCAGGTGTAATTGCCTCGATCTGACGGCACGACGCTCTCCATCACCAGGCTCCACTGCTGGTGTCGCAGCTAGAAGAGATCAACCAAGCTCGTGGTCAAGCACCATCCTCACCAGACCTTTCAAACCAAGGAACCATCACTGAGCTTCCACACACCTGGACCCCAGAGGAAGCCTGACCATCTCAATGACCCATTTACAAGGGTAATTAAAGAAAAAAGAAGAAGTTTTCCAGAAAAAGAGTCAAAGTTCTCGAATGGTCTGCCCAGGGAGGTGGTGGAGTCACCATCCCTGGGTGTGTTTAAAAAAAGACTGGATATGGCACTCAATGGCATGCTTTAGTTGAGGTGTTAGGGCATGGATTGGACTCGATGATCTTTAAGATCTCTTCCAACCTAGTCATTCTGTGACTTCTGTAAAGCCTTGATGAGAAAAGGCATTAAGACCAATGCAAAAATGATGCAACACAATGGAACACATTGAGATGTCAATGGGGACTTTATATTTCCACAATAATAACAATAACAAAGCCAGCTGACAACTGAATGTGGCACCTCTCACTAGAATAATTACTTCAGCAGGTATCACATAGGATCTATATTTTATGTATTTTAATATTCTGATCTGTATTTTAAAATGTCTGCACCATGGAGGCAACAGGTTATGGCATTTGTCTGAACAGAAACAGGTTTCTCCAATTGAGTTAGCTCCCTAAATTCTCTCTAAAAACAGGAGCAAACATGTCCAGCCTCAAATCTGGTCCCTAGGATGCTTGGCCAGCCCTTCTATTTTGGCACTGAGTTTTATACTAGTTGGTTTTCTGGATGTGGCTCATGTCCACAGCTGATGGATGGTCCAGTAGCAGAAGGGAAAGCACAACCCATGTCTTCACCCTGACCTGCTGCCCTGTGATCTCAGCTAGAATATTTGTTTCTAGTGATTATAAAGAAAAAAATGGATATGGAAAGCAAATCTTGAATTAATACAGAAAGCAACCAACAGTAACAAAGATTACTTCAAGGTGCAGAGCATATGAAAGGTCTTCAAATCTCTGGATATTAATTTGATGCCTTCTGCCACCCAAAGCAGAACATTTAACTTTATTAAACATTTTGAAGGTGACCCCAAGGACACAGAAGTAGGAGATTTACAATAATGCTGCACTATAGAATGTCACGGGCTGATGGAAAAAACAAGGGTGTAATTGCTCCTGGAGATTTCTTGCTGCAGCAGGTGAACTCAAATATGAAGTCATTTAACCTCTTTTGCTACACATAAATTGCATCCACATGCTTTCCTTAAGAGGGCCAAGTTGCAATCAAAGCCAGAACTTTGCAAAGAGCAGGTTTAAAACCATAGGACTAGACAGCTTAGCTGCAAGATAAGCAAGCAAATGTAATTTTAACAATTTTTAGGCCTCTACAGTTCTATAAAGAGCACTGCTGAGTACCCCATTTTTCAGAGAATGTGGCATTTCTTTTCATTTTAGAGTATGGGTAACAGGAGGCTGTGACCAAACATTTGGTACAGACATCTCAGCTGTGGCAGATGTCTGCTCAGCTCTGACTGCACCTCTGCCCACCCAGGACAGCACAAATGGAGGAGCTCAATGAAGGAGCAGAACCAACATCTCACCTGTTGTAAAGCAACATTCCCTTTCCTGCATCTCTGTAGCCTCGTGGCAACTAGAGAGTAAGAGAAGCTCTGAAAACAGAGAGCCTGGACCCCGAGCCCACAGCTGAACACATCAGGCTGTCACAGAAATGTGGCTGCTCAGTGGCTCATTTACATACTGGCTTGTCTCATAGTTGTGTCTGAAGGCTCCTCTAAGTCCACTCTTCAGCACTGCAAAACGTTTGCATCTGGAACCCTCAGGAGCTGCTACAAGGAAATGGGGCTCCAGACACATGGATGACTCCCTAGTCTGACCCATATTCTAAAACCAGGTCCAAATTAGGTGTTTTACAAAGGATGCACTTTCAAAGACACTTTTATGACACTTTCAAAAACTTCTCTGTCAGGTTTGTGATGGGAACTTTGTACTCTGAATAGAGAAGAACCTGGGGACACAGACTCATGGGGCAGAACTTGTTTGGAAACCCAGGAAGACATTTTAGCTTTGAAAATCTTTGGCAAAAGATAGTAATTCTCATGTTAGGATAGTCACTACACTTGATAAAACATGAAGTGACTTAGTGCAGGCATTAATCAAGTGGGTGAGATACTGGAAATCCCTCTGGTTCATTTGGTGTTGTCATTCTTGGCTCCTTGTGAAACAAACATTTGCAGACACACTTGGAACCTCTGTTTGCCAGACTGGTATGCAAGTCAGTGCAATGGTCTGGGGAAGGGATAATCCTCCATCTCCCCTCCCCCCCAGTCTTCCCTTCTAGGGTCATTAAACACACACAGGCTTACAATATTAGAGATTCCAACACGGATTTAACCATTAATGCTCTTTGGGAAATTTCATATGATAAGTCATATGAATTTCTTTCCTTTACCAGTTAAGGATGAACTGTAACAAAACCAGGTTAGCCTGCCTATCATGTTTTCAACACTCACCCTTCTCTCTTGCAAGCTTTGCACCGAGCAATCACACGGGTCTAAATGCCATGTGCAAGGGGCAGATGTGGAAGAGTGGTCAGCTTTCATTTGCTGACAACAGACTTCTCACCATCAACATTAAAACTCTTTCACACACTGAAAACAAATGAGAACACTCCCGGCTCAAGGATTTCTGGGTTAAGACCAGATCTCAAGATGAAGCAAGCCAACCAAACTCTGCCAGATCTGGATCTTGCCCATTCTTTTCAAGCTATCTAATCCTGTTATGAAGTTAAGTTGTAACAGGGAATTTAAATCTTAAATACATGAGATACCGAGCAGGTTTTCAATCCCCTTTTGTGGTTCAAATCTCAGCTAATATCTATCAGTATATTTATACTGGATGAGATTTACACTGGATTACTTATATTTATGTGTGGCTCGTGACCAAAAGCAAGGAAATAAAGGAAGGAAAATTATAGAGAAAGATGTCTTTATATCAAGAATGGGACAAAGAACTACACCTAGACAGAGCTTAAACCAATCTTCCTGTAATTGTCCTGATATTGCCTTCAATAGCTCTTTTAAGCATTGACTTGTTGCTCAAAGGTGCCCCCAGAGAAATATAGCACAGTGATGCCAAAGACTCACTACTGTATTTCAGAGGATGAAACATGTCAATTTAAACTCAAAGATAGATTAAAACTACTGGAAAGTGGGTAGGGGAATTGCTTTCAGCTTTAGATTTTTTTTTTTTTTTTTTGCAGGCATAATTTAGTGCAGGTGATGTGACAGAATTTAGTGAAAAGCTGTTGGAATGGTTCATGGAAGCCTGAAAACTCTTCAGGATGATCCCTACAGCCTGCAATTAGTAAAAGATGCTTGTGCTTTGTGAATGTCATCTGTTGAAGAGCAGTTTACCCTCAGGAGCTGCCTCTCCACTTCTTTACCCTCCATGGCTTTTCCAAGATCCAAACCTGAGCGTGTTCTCAGCCTCATCCAGACTGGAGCAGAGACAGGACTGAGGAAGGAGCTTTAAAAGCTTCACTGAAGCCATCACAAAAGGCTCTTTCAGGAACAGGTCTGAGCTAACAGGAAAGAAACAGCCCAAAACTGTGGGGAGGGGGGGACTTTTTTTGAATCCTTCTCTGGTTTCTAGAGCATGGCACGCTTTGCATGCCCAGTCCCCTTTCAAAACACTACGGATGTGGCAGGCATCAGCACACAGCTATTCCGAGTTCTGATGAAGGTGCCTTCCTACAAGGCCCCTTCTCTCCTTAGCAGCAGAGTCCAGGAATATGTCAGGGCTGGCAGAGTGCAGGCAGAAGTTGCTTCTCAAGAGTCCTTCCTGCTATGATGATTTTGTTATAATCAGCTGCAGCAGTTTTATTGTCCCCAAATAAAACCAGAAAAAAAGAGTCTGACTGTGACCTCAAGGGGACAAAGTAATAACAACAGCAGCAAAATGTGAGAAAAGCTGATTTTCCTTTTAAAATCCTGCCAAAATTCATCATATAAAGTAGCACAGAGACTTCTGGCTAATTAAATAATTTGACTGCAGTGGAGTTTTGTGTCCCTGAGCTCTATCTGTAAACATGAGCCAGAGCATTTTCCAGAACACCTCATGGTAGAAAGGAAGCAGGAAGAAGAAAGCAGCCAAGGAGCAGATGCTATAACTCTGGCTACAAGGGAATCCAACACTTGACCAAGGGTCAGTGATTTATACCACAAGAATGTTAATGACTACCAGCATGATGACCCAGCTCCTTCGTGAGGGATTTCCTATACCTTCAAAGGACACTGAATAGTTTTGGGGGTTTTTTTTGAGAGCTGGGAATAGCTATGGCTTGGGCCAACACATCTCAATGCCCTTGGCTCATCTCCAGAAATTAGGACAGAAGTTTCTGCTCCTGCTTTTTAATCCCTGTTCACAATGAAACCATAAACCCAGCCCCATTTTTACCTACTCCCTGAATGACCACTATAGACAAACTCAGAGAGATTACCCTTTGATCCCAAACGACAGCAGTCCTTTTTAACTTTTGGTGCCAAGCAATTCTTAAGAGAGCTAGAACCACCTAAATTTTTACACAGTGCTCTTAAAACCACCCATGTTAATCACGGCGCAATACCATTTTCTGGTTGGTAGAAATAATAAAAAAATTGAGATCCAAACCAAGACCTTACCTTAATGCCCCCAATCCTGTGCTCCCCTTTGAACTCCTTGCCATTTTTCAGCCAGTAGATGGAAGGAGTTGGGTTTCCACCCGCCGGACATCGGAAGCGAACGGTGTTGGCGGCAGGAACTGCCAGCAGCTTCTTCTCCATCTTATCAGGCCGGGTCCAGAAGGGCACACCTGAGAAAGGAAAAACCAAGCTGAACAGGCCCCTCTCTGCAGCAAAGGATATCAGCTGGTGAGCAGATGCATCTGAGGAGTCTTTGGCATGTGCAGATTGACAGTTAAATTGCTACCTGCTGCTGTTAAGATAAATGACACAGAAATGCTTTCCAGCTAAATGACTCTCATAGACACAGAGAGAGTGTTTGCATTTCAGTTTTGTGATGAAAGGTTCATGACCAGGTTCTTGTCTTGGTAGTGCCACTATAAATCTGAAGTGGCTCCTTTTAAATCAACAAGTAGAGTTATCCCAGATCAGGATGAGAATCTGGCCTCAGTGTGTAAAAAGATACAGATGTACCTTTGGGACATTATTAGCCAAGAAGCATAAACAGCAGAAAGATGTTAGAACTGTAAAAGAATGTTGATGGGCCAGCAAGGGAGCAGAGAAAATGTATGAGCCGAGTGCAATGGAAAATGCTCCTCCTCAGCAAATACAAATATAGTGTAGCCTCCTTAAGGGAAGGAAAGAAGAAAACGCGCCAGTGCCAAACTGGTTTATCATGTTTATGTTCTTTAAGTACAAGTGATTTTAGTTTTAAAAATTCACGTTACCTTTGAACAGGGATAAATTTTAGAACACCAGTGTTAGCATGAGATACTTTTTATAATCTGCCTTAAGTACAGCTACGTTCTTGGCTGCGTTACAAACATTACATATTAACTCCAAATTAAGGCAGCAGCAGCGGCAAACTCATTATACCGGGAAGAAAGAAAAAGTTTTAAAAAAAGCCTCCCAAGCTTTCATTTCTGCTTAAGGCAACGCTGCAGAGCTGCACATGCTGTGTTTCCACTGCCATACCAGGGACACATCCAGCCCCCCAGACCTGTGCTCCACACCACGGGCAAAGGGAGAGGGGGGCAGGCAGTGTCTGGGCTGCAAAACAGCAAGAAGGCGAGGAGTGTAAATGGCATCTCCTCCAGTTGGGTAGAACAAACTCACAGACATGGAGCACCTGTTGCAGAGGTATGTGTGCTTCTGCCAAGACAAACTGAAGGCACTGGTCCTCCAAGAACTGCCTTGGAGAACTCGATGGCCACCAAAGCTGTTGGGACAACCTTGCTGCTGGCCTCTCCTGCAGTGGTGACGACGCTCAGGAACACCAGCCAGCATCTCAGCCCCATCTCAACGCTACTCTGAAGCCCCTGTAACAATCCCCTTCTTCATGACAAGTGTGTACCAAATTTTCCCTCTTGCTGCATCCCTTTGAGATGCATGGGAGCTGCTCCCTTTCTCCAGCACTCCTTATCCCTGATGCATTTGTCTGCGTGACACCCATCCCATTACAACTCCAGTGACTGACCCCACCTTGATGTAAGGCCCCAGTGTCCCCCACGCAGGCTCCCTGCTGCATTCCAGCTCCAAGGATATTGCAGGAAAAGTCACACATCTCAGCCAAGGCAATCCATGCACCCACTGGTTTTTAGCACCTGCCAACACTCTCCCCATGTTTCCCCCACCTTAGAAAGTCCATGAGGAACTGGATGCCAGGAGCTGCATCCAGGATGCCCCTCCATGTATTAGAAACAGCCCCGCTGGGCACAGCTCATGTCCCATCTGCCCTCCCACCTCTGCAGTAGGATGGCTGGACCTAACAGCATCTCAGGGAGGGAAATCCAGTACTGAGGGTTTGTATCTGCCCTCAGCCTGCCTTGCACAACAGCGTGATGCCTATCAGAGTCAGCCCCATGTATCAGAGGGATCTGCGCTCACACATCCCGTGTACGCCCCATTTTTCAAATAACAAAACTGCTTAAGGCCCTTTTCTTGCCAGGATCCAGCAGGAGTATGGCTGGCACAAACAACAGCAAAAGGAGGAATCCCCGCAATTCCCATAGTCCTGGAAAATCCCAGCTACAAACTTTCCTGTGAACACACAGCTCATCCAAGGGGCCTGAAGTATTACATGATCCAGTGAGCTAAAATGGGACATCAAGCAGCCATGTACCATTCCAGATGGCAGAACTGCACAAAAATAGGAAACATTCAAAAAAATGTTAGAAGAGAGGGTGCAACTGCTAAAGGAACAGGTGTTGATGATAAAAGGATGATGCTGTTATAGCATGAAGGAAGGGCAGAAACCAAGCAAAGACTGGGCAAATCCCCAGGCAGCAACAGGGGAGTGAATGCAGAGGACACTTGGGGTGATGCTCGGAAGGCTGGAGAGGAGAGGGCCCCAGAAACCCACAGTGGTCCTTGGTTTCTGAAGGCCTGGGCCATTTTCTCCTGGGCCATTTTCTGGCCAAATGCCTCCTTTTGACAATGCACTTTGATTTTCTGGGGATGTTACAAGAGGTTAACAGGGGTACAGGGGAGCGGCATGGCAAAGGCCAGGCATGGGTGGAAAAGTCCCCTTCTGCCACCGCCACAGAGGGCAGCCAAATAACCTGCCTTGTTGTTTGATTAACATATCTGCCCACAAGAAATCCATTTTATGTTGTTGGTGACAATCACCTAGGCACTGAGGTGTAATTACATCACATGGTCACCTGGTCAGGGCCAGGTTCTTCCTTTTGCTTTTTCGGGCTCTTCCCTTTTACACAACATCTGCATGTGCTGCATGGTGACATTTTGTCACATTTTTTCATTCAAAAGTTGAGTCTGAACCTCACAGGAGATCCATCAAGCCATTGGCTGCAAATGTTGTCACTGAAGCCAAGGGGGATTTTGCTATCAGACATCAGAGAGCAGCAAGATGGAGTCCAGGAAAGTTTCCAGCTAGGGATATTCTCCATATGGAGCAAAGGCAAGATTCACTCCTGCCTGCTGCAATTAGACACAACTCCTTCCTTGAGTGCCTTCCCTCATTTGGGTGCTCTTCTATGAGATTCAGGGCTTGCCAGGGCTGGGCACCCCTGGATTATTGTGCCAAGACTCAAACAGGGCATTGCTCTCAAGTTAAACTGGAACTGGAAGAAAGCGTCTACACATTGAAAACAGTGCCTTTGTTCTCACTTGCAGGAGCAGCGAACAAAACATCCCAGCTTTTGCTTTGCTCTGCCCTCTGAGTCCTTTCATTACCACTTTTTAAGGGCCTGAAAATGTTGCTAACTCTTCTTTTCAAGCAAAGCTTGCACAGCTCCAGAGAGTTTTGGGAGCGGGAAAAGAGGAAGGATGAAAGACAGGAAAATTTTCTAGACTAGCTCTCTGTAAATTAATTACTAGCAATGGTTTTGCATGTGCAGGTGTGAAAAAAAAAAACAAGGGAGCCCCAAACATTATCACCAGCCCTTTCCCATCATCAAACACTAAGCCTGACGGTCCGTTTTGTTCGTCAAAGACACCGGCCACCCATCCAACTGGAATGACCAATTAAAAAAAAACTGAGAGCAATACTTGGAATAATTAATACAGCCAAGCACTCATTTAGCAATTAGGAGCTGCCACCAAATTCTGTGGCAGACAGAATCAACCCTAATTGTGTAATTTCCCCAGCTGACGCCTCCGAGGACAGAGCCAGATTTAATTGGAGATTATGGGGGCTCTTTGAAGGTGCTGGGGCTGCGCAGCGGGGGCTCCAAACAAACAGATACGAGAGGGGCAGGGAGCACTGGGGCAGAAGCACAGTGTGTGAAAAGGGAGTTTTGTTTTTGTTTCAGGGCCAGGAAAAACAGCTGTAGAGAACAGAGGTATTAGAAAGCCTCTTTCTGCAAAGGCGGATCACGGCTTGTGACAAGGCTGCTACAAACGAGCTGGCTTGAACCTGCAGAAGTTTCTCCTTATTCTTTTCTGCTGCCCATCCCCAAGGGATGCCCTGTTTCTGTACTGCCCCTCAGAGAGGAAGCTGCGAGTGAGCAAAGCAGGGCACTCCACATGGAATTTGGTGTTTCCAACCCTTAAAATTAACAAGATTGGCTTCAAACTTATGATGCTATTGGAATCAGCTTTCTCAACTCTCCACTATGTGAGGATGAGAAACTCTTGTTGAGTAGCACAAGCCAGAAGAGTAACTTATCATCACAAGGAGCCAGGACAAAAGGATTTTATTCAGTGAAATACAGTGTGGCAACACACAGTGAGCCAGTCCAGGATGGATTGCCTTCCCCCACATATAAAACACTATCAGTTATACTGAATAGATACCTTTGAGGTCACTTCCAACCCTAACCATCCTATGAGTCTGTGGTATTTTTCTTTAGCATGAAAGCATTTATTGCCTTTCCTCCTTTAAGTACTGACCACAGCTGTGTCCGATGCCTGAGCAGGACACCCCATCATACCTCATCACACCTCATCAGTAGGGCACATTTTTGCCACAGGATAGAGAGGACTTGGGTCTTTGGGCTGTCCAAAGAACATGGCACTGGCTACATCCCTGCCTGGGATGGTCCTTCCGTCCCTGCTCCTGGTGGAATGTCCTGACACAGGAGGTCTCCTGGTGGCACCAGGGTTAACAACACAGCTCCCCAGATTCAGGAGACCTCCAAGGGTTAAGTGGAGGATCTGACATCAAAGAAAGCAACACAAAGCACACCCATGCCATGAAATGCTGTGAGGTTTCACTGTGAGGTTTCACTGACACATTAAACTAATCAACCATTTTTAAAGCAGAAGAGAATCCAACTTTTTATAACGAGACCTTTAAGCAAAGCCAGCCATTGCCTTCAGGTCTAACACCAGAGACAGCCTCAAAGTCAAGAAGACCCAGAAAACAGGCTATAAATACATGTGGTGAAATGTGTTTTCCTTTTCAGTGAAGAAAAACGTCTTTCTGTACCATAAGCCAGCTGATGTTTTGTGATACCTGTTGCTAAGAGATTGAGTTCTCTATAAACCACATAAAAAACTGTACAGAACAATCAGTTGTGCTCATCAGAAGCTGCTCTGCAGAAGGAAAAAAATCCTGACCAAACCAGACCTTGCCCTATGTCTGTACCATTCTTCAGCAAGGACCAGGAGCCCTGAGCACCTCTGCAAAGGTGCCTGTCACCTGGCAGGATTTGGCCCCTAATTAGAAGCTATCAGAAAACCACTAACTGCTGCTGATGGATCTCCTGGCACTGTAACTCACCATTACTGTCCACAAACTGCACACACAGCAGTATTAACTTATTGCAGTGGCAGACCTATTTGAAAGAGTCCACATTGCACGTGCAATGTTATGGGCAGGAGAGATTTTCCAGTCATGTTGAACTTCTGCCAATGTACATAGCTGATTGTGAGTTCAAATGCAAGACATTTATTTATTAAAAATACATACACATGGGCAGCTCACTCTGCAGAAGTATAAAGAGCAGAATAAAACACAACACTAACACCTCTGAGGCCTGTAATGATCCTGATTAACGCTATTGCACTTAAAGAAAGCAGCACTGGGGCTGACAGGGATTCACTGTGAAAGCACCAAGCACTGTCCTGGGACTCCCTTCCTCACAGGAGTGAAAGAAAAAGCCAGTGAAGCTAAAGAGGTTCTCACTTATGGCATCAGAAAATTTGGCCCTTGGCTAGAGTATGTTTTGTACTCTGACCCCTGTCAAGATATTGGTAAGGACCAGAATCAGAATAGTTAAAAGTAAAGCAGTCAAGGTTTGAAATGGTATAAAATTGGTGTAACATCCGTGCAGTAAGTGGGCTTGTCTGGATTTACATGCGAGGGGAATTTGTAACTACACGTCTATTCAGATCCTCAGCATCAAGTCTTCAAAATACAGTACTGCTGCTGTAGGACTCCACAGCAGCAATACCACTCTGGCAGCTGTTTTAAGTTTTTAGATAAATTTCATCATGGTTCTATCCTAAGGTCACTGATTTCAACACAAAGAGAGAGCTGCTGTGCAACTGCGTGAACAGCCAGATGAGCTGCACTGCTTGGGAGCCACAGCTTCTGCAAAGAAAAGCCCAGAAAAATGAATTACCTGTATCTTCTGACTCATCATCGTCATCCTCATCATCACCTGATGAAGGGGAATCTGGAAAGAGACAAGAAAGAAGTGAAGCAGAAAGAGGATGGAATGTGGGGACACCCAGCCCGCCCCTCTGACCATGCTGGGCCAGGAACAACTGACAGGAGCTTTCTCCACTGGGAGAGAGGTGTCAAGAGCTCGTCAGTGCTCTGAAAATGTGGTCCAATGTCAAATACTTCTCCCTGTGTAAAATGCTCTCTTCCTCATCATACTAAAGAAATTCTAAACCGGAAATTTTATTTTTGCAGAACAAGCTCTCTGACTGCGTTTTTTTTTTTTTTTTTTCCCTCTAGCATTCACTCTGAAGACCTTTTATTTTACCATGTCTCAAAACTACAGGTCAGCATTTCTAATTCACTTTCCCTGACTTTTTCTTTTAACTCAATATCCTCCTGCCACATCTCCCTCCATTAACTCCTTGTTCAAACACTAAGACCAAGACTTTTGAACTTCTTGCAATCAAACCTCTCTCCATCAACGTTTTCATTGCTATTCCCTGAACCAGTTCCCTTTATTATACTCCTCCCACAGAGGCACCTCAAGGCTGTAACTCAATACAGGTAAACAGGTGGGAATTTTCCATCTGTATCTCTCCAAAACATTCTGAATGGTTTCTTTTAATGTGGTCTAACATTTCACCTCCTCCAAGCTGTCCATAAAGAAGGCTCAGTCTGTCTTCCCCCATAAAGTGACTACTGTAAATGTAAATGCCATTATCAAATAGCAGCTTAGTGTTTGATTTAGTTTACACAGTTTAGTTTAGTACAGTTCAGCATCTGGAAGATTTAGCAACACTGATGTTACATCATCTCCAGGAATTTTTCTTTCAAATAAAGGCAAAATGCTAGCAACCCAGCAGCCTCCATGTTCTGAGACAGTGGTAAGAGAACCTGGCCTTAAACACAAGAAAACAGGAAACATTATGAGCGTTCAGCATATGGCCAGAAATGTAAAGAGCTGCTTTAGACTGAGCCAGGCAGAACATCCTTCATTGCAACATGCACTTGAGTTTTCTACTGTTGTACGACCAGCACAGTGGAGGTAAAAATGGAAAACGAAGAAGGTGGGGAGGGGATAAAAGGAGGAAAAAACAAGGAAAGGTAACAGCAAATAGTTCTTCCCTGCAGAATTTGGAAGGGCCTCCCAGGCATTTTCACCATTCACAGAAGCAACACAGGAAACATCTCCCTGCACTGCAGGGGCTCATGGTGCTTTGCACCTTCTCCTTGGCAGAGCCTCAAGGACAACTTCAAGCACGTATCTAACTGCAAACCCACAGCTGAGGTCCTGCTGGCAGCAGAACTGGGGAAATGCCATGGGGCTTGCTGAAAGTCAAGTGGATGTTTAGGTGTTCTGGCTGATCCAGCAGGTTTACTCAAGTCCTGGCGAAGGCAGAAACTGAGCCAAATCCCCACCAGCATCGACAGAGAAATCAGCACCTTCTCAGCTCTGCTCTCAGATTTGGTTACCCATATATTAACACATGATTATATTTTACTTCTGCTTTCCAATGAATCCATCATGACCAGAAGAGTAGAATCAATTTTTAAACTAATTCAAAAACATCTTCACAAGGTTGAAGGAAGTCTTTGACTTTGCTTGTTCTTAAGATGAGAAGTGCAGCTTAGATTTTAAGACCAAATATCCCACATGCATAGCTACTGTCCTATTCAAGTTACTAAAACATCACCTTTTTCAAAAGGTGATTAAAAATTACAAGCTATTTGTTTATTATTTAGTAAAACACTAATCCTTAGCAGAACTTGTTGGAAGTATTGGCAAGAACTGCTCAAAAGGGCTTTAATTATGAATGAAAAGGGACTTAACTTGTTTAGTCACCTGTTTTGTAATGCTTGGCCTTGGATATTTTGAAAGCTCTGTTTGCTGGTACCAGCCTGCAGTCTGTGCTCATCACAGGGGTGCTGCTCAGCCACTAAATCCAAAGGCTGTGCTGTGCATGAAATGGTTGCAGAAATGGAGCTTCTGCCAACAGGGCTGGATATCAGTTTGGGCACACAGCCTCTACACGATCCTTTCCAAGTGTTCAGATTTTAAGGGGACAGTATGTTTCTTTTTGTAAACTAGCAAAACACTCACGCCCTTGTCTGTCAAGGGAGGAATTTTTTAAAGAGATCAAATCCTGCTATTCATCAGACTGGTTCTCAGCCTTTGAATGCCAGCTCCAGCATCCACTTTTTCTGCTTCCAGCATCAAACATCTCCCTGTGCACAGTCAAGAATCACTGCAGAAAGTCAGCTTGTTGCAGATTCAAACCTCATGGCTCTGTGTGGGAAAATCCTGATATGCCCCTAAGACATGGAAGCATCTCTCAAAATGGAACTTAAATGTGATCAGCTATTCCAAACACACCTAGCCTCCTCTTGTTCACTTAAGAACACTGATCAGAGCAATTCCAGTGTGTTAGTACAGCTTTAAACCAGTTTAATGCAGAGAACAACTCCAGCCCCAAACATCAGATATCCACATGAACACCTGACCAGACACCTGAGCTAATTGCTGGTGTTACCTTTAAGAATTGGGGACATGAACCACAAATCTCCAATCACAATCTCATCTCAGCAGTGCCACGCTGAGCAATCAATACTAATTATGAAGAAATATCTGAGTATATGAGAGGCACCACTATTGCCACATAAAGTGGAGCTTCAAAGTTTAAAACAAATGCTACTGACAGCTAAAAAGAGCTAAAAAGGAGGCTCCCACATTACCAGCACTTTGGTGGTAATGACAGTAGGCTAATAGAATCAAAGACTCATAATGTTGTCAGAAACCAGGTTCAGGTTACTCACTAGTTCTTAAGCTGTTATTAGCTATTATTAGTGAAGAGGAAAAATACAGGGGCTTAAACTTTTTAAAAGCAGAGGATTATCAGTCCTTCCACTATTAAAAACAATTTCTCACTTTACAAACTTTTGGGGCTGGCAGCTGTTTCATTTGAGCATGTAACCAGCTGCCCTCTCCTGCCTCCCTGCTGCCCCTTGAACTCAAAAGCATTTTCATGTCACTTAGGAAAAAAAGAGAGAGTAACATTTCTAACAACCTGCAGTTTGCTGGATAGTTCCAATAATCGTACCTAGTTAAAGAAAGCCTTTCAAGGGCCAAATACTTCTTTAACCATTTAATTGATATGACCTTGAAGCATTCACAGCAATCTCCAGTAACACTCAATAAAAAGCAGATGTTGCTGAAGGCTTGGTGAAACGAGCTTTTATTCTCATGTTGGGTTTTCTCTCACACAAAATCCTATTACACAAGAAAGCTCTCTATGGAGTGAATGTGATTCACAAATCTCTGTGTTTGGTTTTCAGACAGAGACTCTTACTTTTTGAGGGAACTCAACTTTTGGAGAAAGGACCTGCTATTCAAGGATTCTTGAAAAGGCTCCAATAGTTTAAGGGCAAATGGAAGTTTTCAAAACCTGAAATCCCCAAGGGGCTAATTTTCCTGAGAACTTAGGCCTTTAACCTGTGATCAGGAGAGTTTTTATCTGCTCACACTGATGAGCATCCACCTACCAATGCACCAGCCTTAAATCATGAAAATGACCTTTGTGTTGCTGGTTAGCTATCTGGAAACAACAGATTTTTCTGGCACTCTGTGTTTAGTAATCCAAACTTGGACAGCTTGTAGCTGTTCTGTTATATTGTCTCATCACAAAAAATATGGCCAAGCAAGTGACAGTGTGTGCTTTGCTAACGCAACACTCATTTGCAATGTATGAATCCCAATAAGTAACTTTGATGAAGCACATATTTTGGATATGCAGTTTACAATTTGATTTTGGATATATAGTTTACAGATAAGCTACCTCTAAAACAAGCTACCAATTTGTGATAACTGTGATGGAGGGAAGAGATTTACCAGCTACAACAGAGAAACAGTCTTCAGGAACTTCCAGATCTTATGTGCAATTCTGCCACTGATTTGTCACATAACGTGGAAAAACATCGTTCAACCCCTGTCAGCCACAGTTTGTTCACTCACAAAAAACTTCTAAGCCACATCTAGTATTGCATCTATTTGAGTGTTAAGTGGGAAATTGAGGTTTAAGCTGACCAGCACCCTTTCTAAGTCTCTCTCAGTATTAACATCAAGGTTCAACATTTGGTATGGACACGCAAGCATTCTTCAATTGGTTTGTTTTGCCAGTCTGATCACTGTCAGGAGTTACCAGGGACGTACAGACCTTCCAAGGACAGACAAACACCACAAACCACCACTTGTGCTGAACATGTGAAAGGGAAAAATTTTTTTAGAAAAACAAAAAAAAATAATAGAAAAATCACTGAAACAGCTGTATTCCTGCACTTACCTGTAACTCTGACTGTAAAGTTTCCCAGGACTTCGTTGGAATGCCTTGGCTTGCAACTGTACAGCCCCGAGTCATCATATGACACATTGATTATCTTCAACAGTTTTTGTCCAATGTGAGTTCTGTTGGTAGGTGCAATTCCAATACCATCTTTAAACCAGAAAACAGACACAGAAGAGCCTTGGGTGTTACAGGAAAGTTCAATGGTATCTCCATTTCCAAACACCAACTCTTCCAGAAAGGCGGTCTCGCTCCTCAAGTATTCTGCAAAGGGAGAAAGAAATAGAGATGAATAAGTAAGAGCAGGTGTCAAGAGATAGAAAGAGTGTTTTGAAAAAGAAATATATCTTGTATTTGCTCTAGTGATGCTTCCGTGTGCCCAGACCTTCCCCTCGCCTGCCACAGGCAGGTGGCTGTGCACAGTCAGGTCTCTGGCTGATCTACAAGGATGGCTTTGACCTGTAGCAACCAAAACACATCCACCCCACCAGGTGCATCACAACAAACTGCACAGACCTCTAGAAGGGTCATTGCAACACCCAGTGCTGCAGGTGAGGGGGTGATTGGTAGAAATAAGTGTGCTGGCAAGTTCACAGTTCCAAAGCTCCTTTTGTTTATTGCTGTGAGGCTGTCCACAAACCCTACGAGACCCAGCAAGGACAGAAAGGAGCAGAACCAGGGATAAACCAATTTTCTTATGTGTCTCTGAGTGACCCAAAGGCAACATCTGTGGGCTGAAGAAAACAGGGGGAAGGCTGGACAGAAGATAAAGGCTGGAATAGCTAAAATAAATGAAACCATCACTAGCTTCCTGCTGAAGTTACACTGTGTGCAACAAAAGTGCAGAACCAAAGACATCTTCATAGATCATGACTTCACTGTGAAACCAGTGCAAGTAGAGCGGCTTCAAATACCTGAGGATGTAGCACTGGCTCCAGGCTGCTCTTTTGCCTTGAAGTGAAAGAGTTGGAGCAGGCTATAAGAAAAAAAACTTAATGTTTTTCTCTTCTTGTCATGAGGGTTTTTATTCTTGTATAAATGTAAATATTTAAAATATAAAAATGTTGCAGTTAATAGCCTTGCAGGATAGAAAGAAAGGATTCTGGGAGCCTGAAAAGGTGGTATTTCATGGGAGGTATCGTCTCACAGGAGGCTAAGCCCACACTCATTGGTATGAGAAAGAATCTCTCCTCATACCATAGCAGCAATTCCAACTCAAATATTTTATGGTTTGGCCAGAATGTTGTGGTGTTCATGCAGTCAAAGGTTTAGGGTGTTGGGTTTTTTCCCCTTTTAACAAAAATTTTCCCTGAAAGCATATACTTTTAGTAAATCAAATAAAGAAGATTGAGCTCCATGCAGAATCCCCTTGCTATCAGACCAGCACTCATCATTACACTGGAGTGTTCACCCATGGTCTCTTCTCAACTGGGATATAACTCTGGGGCAAATATGGTCAAGAAATGTTCTGGTTTAAATGATCAAGTTTTTTCCTCTTTCTTCTAGAGTATGAGGATTTTTTTCACTGATACCAAATTTGGCTTCAAATTAAAAAGCCCTGTGGACAGCTTTGCACTTGCAAGACTGAGTACTGGTCTAACTGATGGAACCTCTTGCTAATTTAATCTGCTGGAAAACAAACCCCACACAACTGTACAACTTCTCCACACAAAACACAGTTCTACCAAAGCTGTTTGCCAAACGATCAAGCCTTGTATATTTTGGCTTTTGTATTATAAACCTACTGAGCAGGAACAAGCCCAGACTAAGCACAGGCCAAACTGTACTGGTTAGCTGTTTCAAAGGAAATAACTCTTTTTCAAAAACCATAATGAACCTAGGTTAATGACAAAGCAGCAAAGAATTTTTATAAAATGTAAACGGGGAATGCTGGAATGAAGAGGAAAGTACAACTCAGCAGATGGACTGGGGTCTCAAGCTTCTTCTGTGGAATGAAGCAGCACCTCTTGTTTCTGACGACTTTATTTTGGCATCTCTACCCTCCATCTCCCCAGCAGGTCTGCAGCAGATGCTGTGATGCAAAGTTTGGTTTTAGAGACTTCATTTGTAATGACTGGGAATAATCTCGGGGTAGATGCAGCAGTGAATTAAAAGGAGAACACTACTAATGGTCTTAATCTCACCTCTCTTAACTGTTTTCCAAACTTTTGTTTATATACTTATAGCTTAAAAAATAAACAGGACACAACCTGGAGATCTCCACAAAGTATTTTAAATGGGCACTCAAATGCTTTTAAGCACTTTGCCAACTGTGACCTTGGAGAACCAATTTTTACTCTCATTCCTTATATAGCTTTCAAGTACAAAGATAAATCTGAAAGCAGAGACAGTTTCATTTTCATGCTTAAAACAGCAGGAGTTCAAAGCAGGGAACCAAAGCTCACATATCTCACAGCATGGCCAGAGTCCAGCACCTCCTTCCTGCCTTCCAGTGCAATGTCCCTGGTGTTTCCAACACCTTTTCAACCACAGACACCAAGACATGAAGGAGACATGATGTTGCCCCCTCTGAAGCCAACTCTCCAGCTATAAAAAAATGGGGACACAGCCAGGACAGCTGAGCCCAGCTGAACCAAGGGATATTCCAGACCATAGGACATCATGCTCAGCAATAAACCTGGGGGAAGAAGGAGGAAGGGGAATTGTTTGGAGTGGTGGCATTTGTGTTTCTCAGTCACTGTATGAGGGGACTCAGCTGCCCTGGGGATGGCTGAACACCTGCCCTGGGGAAGTGAAGAACTAAATCCTTGCTCTGCTGTGCTTCTGTGTACAGCCCTTGCTTCTCCTATTACACTGTCTTTATCACCACCCTTATGGGTGGTTTTCTCACTTTTACTCTTCCAATTCTCTCCTCCATCCTCCAAGATGGGGTGAGCAAACTGCACTGTGGGGCTGAGCTCCCAGATGGGATTAAACCATGACACACAAATTTAAATTACCAGGGAGTTAACCCAGGTAGGGGTTACAGGAGCCCACTCTGACACCTGCCAGCAGAGCAGGGATTGACACATTTGCAGCTTTAAGAGGCTCTTTGAGAGAAAGAGGCAATCTGGGTTGTGGGCTCCCAAGGTATGACTAAAACTCAATGAATTATTAGTTTAGTCAAAGCAATAATGACTTGAGAATCACCAAGAGATGCATCTGATGAAGATCAGCACTCGCAGCATCATCACTGCTGGTAGCAAACACACTGCACAGAAAGAGACAATTTTTAAGTTGTTAAGAGAAGCAAAAATGCAGCAACTGGCTGGAAACACCTTCCACAATGAGGAGCAGTTGGCCCAGCAAGGCTGAAATGCTTTTGTACGTATTCACTTATAAGGATAAGATACTTCATCTCCATAGCTGCTTGGCTCATCCCAGCAATAATTCACTTTCTGTGTGGCTCACAGCTCCAAGTACTTAAGCGTGTCAGTATTTCCATCAGCTGTCTGCTCCTCTCAGACATCAATACTTGTTTCTGGCTGAGCCTGGAAATGTTTTATTTTGGTTTTAACACATGCAGCTCCCAAGTTATTTATTATTCAGGCATGAAAGGATGAGGAAGAGGTGGAGGGTGGTGGGCTATTCCTGGGCTGCTTATGGCCCCCAAAAAATCCAAGCTACCTCGAGCCTGGCTGATACCTATTTCCAGATGCTGCTGAGGGCTGCTCCTGGGCAGCAAAGGCTCACAGGGGGAGGGAGCCCCATGGTCCCATGTCACCTCACATCGTGCCTAGTTCTGGCTCCAGAAAATATCTTTTTCTTCACCTTTGATTTTTTCCCTGGAATAACTTCCCACAACCCTATTTTTTCAAACACGAAAGCGTTCAGGAGTCTCCTGAGAAACTGCTCTGATGGGGTACATGCATCCCACATCACCATCATCCTTTTACCTTCAGTGAGCATCCTGCAGCAGAGGAACATCCACCACAGCTCAAACTACACTGGGACAGCCCCCACAGAGCACTGGAGGCACACAACTTCCAGTACCACCAGCAAGAGATTCCTCACCCACCCTGAACCCTGACAACCCCGAGAGGCTTTCCAGGATTTCTTCACAGCCCAGTGCTGGAATGGACTAAGACTCAGTTCTAAGCAGATCATGTTTTTCCCTTTTCAAGCTGGACAAGCTGTGTTTGGCATGTTAACAAGTACAGAGACAGCAGTGCTCCATGCATTTCTCTCTTCAGGTTAATCTGAATAGTTTCTTGTTCTATGTATTTTATTGCACTAAATCCACCGTGACAGGATACATTACAGGATCACAGAGCAACAGCCATGCCAGAGCTTTCTCCTGTTGAGTTTGTTATCCCATTCCCAGGGGGATGGATCATGGTCCCAGCCAGCAAGCTGGTGAATAATTGCTGGAAGTGTATGAAAACTTCCAGCTTTAGGGGGATGAACACAGCCATGGTGGCAAAGATCATATACATTATCTCTAGACTCAGACCAGCACTGTGTCCTGTATATTTAGCCCTGGTTTATTCTACATAAGTGTCCTACCTGTTTCAACAGAGTATTATTCACCCAGTGAATACTATTCAGGTGTTTTTCACAATACCTGTGTGCCTGTTCTTGGGATGGAGTCACTTGCCTACCTCACCTTGGGACTTCTGCACTGGGAAAAGCAAATGACCCAGAAGGGAAATGAAACACTTTCCTTGCCAAATATTGTCCATTTAAGACCCAAAAGTAGCCAGGAAAAGTGGCAAGTGGCCTCAGTGTCACCTCCCCATAGGAACCATGCCATGCACAGAATCCACATCCCCATTCCCTCTGTCTCTCCCCAGAGAGGCAGAGAGAGCCTGGGGGAATATTGAAAACTTCCAAACCAGTCCTGAGCCCTGCAGCCCCTGTGAGAGCTGGGCATGAGATTGTGGGATCACCTGTTTCCCCAGGAACCTGCCTTCTCAGGGCAGGGAAGATCAAGGTAGCAGTGCAGTCCCTGCAAACCCTCACTGCTCTGCAGGGAGCTGATGGGGTATTTTTTATTTATTTATATATATGTATGTATATTTGGCAGTGCTTTATGCAGGGCACAGCTTCCCCTCCTTTCTGCACAGCCATGATGGTGCCAGAGGTGGAACATCCCTGTCTGGCTATGGTCCTGTCACTCCAAAAAGCACCTCACAAGCCTGGCACACAAATATATCAAATACACACATGATATTATATAAAGTATTTTACGTACATATTTTCTATTATATTTTATTTATGAAATAAAAAGTATTATATAAAACCTTCTGGTTTTTTCTCTTCCC